GAAGCATATTTTGCACGGGAGGGCAAGAACACTTTCCAAGTTTTATTTTTCCTAATGTGATTTTTGAATGTTCTCTTTACATGAATTACTTCACCAAACACATCTTTATTCTTCTTTTTATTACCTTTAAGATACCATGGCTGGTGAGACCCTAAATCTGACGTCAGCTCCTCTTCCAGCCATTCTGGATTTCTCTGCCTTCTGCCGAAAACTGTTCTAGCTCTTTTTGTAGCACAATTGTTGTCTGTGTCGTCACGGTCACGCTTCATTCGTGACATCCCGTTGCTTCCCACTTGACAGCTGATACTTTCTTGCTGACTTGCAGAGAACTTCTCCTGAAAATCATCTTCATCTGGATGGGGATTATCCTCCTCCTCCAAGTTCCATGGGCTAGGCAGGCTGTCAATTGCTTCTGCATCCCCTTCGCAAGTTCTCAAATAGTGACTGAGTGGGACTGATGTCATTCCTTCCATCTGGTCTCTTTGTAAACACAGCTGAAAGAAGAAATGTGAGTGAAAATTTGAACATGGAGAAGACAAGGAGAAAAAGGCAGGAAAGGGGGGGGGGGTAAAGGGAGAGAGGGAGAGAGGGAGGGAGGGAAGGAGTGAGAGAGTGAGAGAGAGAGAGAGAGAGAGAGAGAGAGAGAGAGAGAGAGAGAGAGAGAGAGAGAGAGAGAGAGAGAGAGAGAGAGAGAGAGAGAGAGAGACGAGAGAGAAGAGAGAGAGGGAGAAGAGAGAGCAGAGAGAGAAAGAAGGAGGGAGAGAGAGAGAGAGAGAAGGAGGGAGAGAGGAGAGAGAGGAGAGAGGAGAGAGAGAAAGGAGGGAGGCGAGAGAGAGAGAGAAAGAGAAAAGAGAGCAGGAGAGAGAGAGAGAGAGAGAGAGAGAGAGAGAGAGAGAGAGAGAGAGAGAGAGAGAGAAAGAGAGAGAGAGAGGAGAAGAGAGAGAGAGAGAGAGAGAGAGAGAGAGAGAGAGAGAGAGAGAGAGAGAGAGAGAGAGAGAGAGAGGAGAGAGAGAGAGAGAAGAGCAAGAGAAGAGAGAAGAGGAGAAAGAGAGAGAAAGAGAAGAAGAGAAAGAGGAGAGAGAGAGAGACAGAGAGAGATGGAGAGAGAGAGACGAGAGAGAGAGAGCGAGAGAGAGACGAGAGGAGAGAGAGAGAGAGAGAACGAAGAGAGAGTAGCAGAGAAAGGAGGAGGAGGGAGGGAGCGGGGGAGGGAGGAGGAGGGAGGGAGAGAGAAGAGAAGAGAGACAACATGAAGACCACGATCAGAGAGAAGAAAACGGGTGAGAGTGAGCAGAAAATGAAGCAGAGAGAAAATGAGAGAGTGATAGAAAGAAAGAGAAAAGTAGATAGTTTGCATGTTCTACCAAAAAAACATCTTCATAAATACCTTTTCAATTGTATTGATTGAAGGGTTGTTATAGACATATGTCACAGCAGTACAGGTATTTTCCTCAGCTTTGCACTCTTCAATGTCATCCTCAACAACAATCTTTTCTTCAACGATCTCAAGACACTCCAAAGCAGTTTCATTTTCCTCGTCTGGCTCGATGCGTAAACCTACAATCAGAGAAGTTTTAAAATGACTTTTAGGTATCATTATTCACAAAAATTAATTATGAATGTTGTCAATAGCTACACAAATATAATAAACAATATATATAATCATACATACACATACCTAATAACAACATATTTATATTATTTATAATATATATCTTATATACTATATATATATCTGAATAACATTTTCTTTTTTTTCTGAAACCATTTCTTTTTTCTATCATATATCACATATTTTTTCCATTCTTTTTTATTCCCGGCTCCCCTCCGTCATCGCTACGACTCTATAACATTCTCCACACGCTATACACCACTCATGTTTTTTATTTTAGTATCCCATTTTTTTTGTATACCCACCATCACCGCATATCTTTTATTCTACCCATTATTTTTTATTTTTTTTTTTTATTCCTTTATTTTAACACACACACACAACACAGACACATCAACACACAATACACTCATTACACACATACACACACACACACATACAGATCACCATCACACAGTTTCTTTCACCACACAAGACACAGACATCACACACAGTATGATAATGAATATCATACTATATTGATATTAGTACTATATATATTATATATATATATATATATATATATATATACGTATGCACTTATATGTACGCTATACTATATTTGGTTACAATATGTTAAGTATACATATCATATATCCCATATATTATAATCCGATATATAAGGTAGGGTACAACATATATAAAACGATATATGCATACTAGCGTAAATATATGTATTGTTGACTGACGAATATATCAGGTTTCGGTACGAAGACTGATATCATGTACGTATATAACAAGCTGTGTGCTCCCATACTATGTAGTTAATGATCTTATAAACGTATATATAGTATATACTCTTATATATTATATAACATATATATATACTAATATATATATATATTATAT